GGATCGGGCATGGGGTTGTGGGGTCTTGGGGTTGGCTATGAGATTATGGGGTCGGTTATAGGGCCGCCTATAGGGTTATAGGGTTGGTTATGGGGCTATGGGGTCAGATACGGGGTTATGGGGTTATGGGATCAGTTATGGGGTCAGGAAAGGGTTTATGAGGTCGTTTATAGGGTCAGAGGAGCTATGGGGTCGGGTTTGGGGTTATGGGGTTGGTTATAGGGTTATGGGGTCAGATATGGGGTTATGGGGTTATAGGGGCAGATATGGGGTTGTGGGGTCACGTGTGGGGTTATGGGGTCGGTTATAGGGTCAGGTATGGGGTTATGGGGTTATGGGGTCAGGCTATGGGGTTTTGGAGTTATGGGGTCGGTTATGGGAACAGATGTGGGGTTACGGGGTTGTTTATAGGGTCAGAGCAGTTATGGGGTCGGTTATGGGGTCAGTTATGGAGTTATGGGGTCAGTTATGGGATTGGGAATGAGATTGTGGGGTTATGGGATCAGTTATAGGGTCGGTTATGGGGTCAGAAAGTTATGAGGTTATTTATGGGGTCAGATGATTCTGGGATCGGTTATAGGGTCTGAAAGGTTATGGGGTCGCTTATGGGGTCAGTCATGTGGTTATGGGGTCAGTTATAGGGTCAGAGGGTTATGGGGTTGGGTACAGGGTTATGGGGTCGGTTATGGGATCAGGTGTGGGGTTATGGGGTGGTTGTGGGGTTATAGGGTCAGGTATGGGGTCGGGTATGGGGTTATGGGGTTTCGGGGTCAGATTATGGGGTTATGGGGTCAGTTATGGGATCAGGAACGAGGTTGTGGGGTTATGGGGTCAGCAGTGGGGTTGTGGGGTTATGGGGTCAGTTATAGGGTCAGTTATAGGGTTATGGGGTTGGGTATGGGGTCGGAGGGTTATGGGGTCGGTTATGGGGTTGGGTATGGGGTCGGAGGGTTATGGGGTCGGTTATGGGGTCGGTTATAGGGTCAGAGGGTTATGGGGTCAGTTATAGGGTCAGAAAATTATGGGGTTGGTTATGGGGTTGCTTATAGGATCAGAACGGTTATGGGGTCGGTTATGGGGTTGTGGGGTCAGTTATAGGGTCGGGTATGGGGTCAGCTATGGG